TTTCAGTCTTTTGGGGAGCCAGGCGTTTCAAACGGCCTCGTGATGGATTATGTCGGGGGGGCAGGGGGGGTTGACGGGTTCTTTGTTATTGTCCAGGATCTGTGAAGTACATCTGACAAGTTTAGTCAGGCTTGAGTTTATTGTCTTTGTCATAATTGTCCATGTTCAGAAAAGTCTTTGTGACCGTTGGGGGGGGGGGTATAAATGTCAAACGTTTGTTGTCCAGAGGAGACAAGGTTCTTGGTTTTAATAGTTCGTGAGGTTTCCGTAGCAATAAAAAGGTTCGCTGCACAGTTCTTCAGTTTGTTATGCAAATTGACAGCGCAAGGATAAAAGGTGGACAAAAGTAATCCAGCAGAATGTGCCTTTGTAAAAAAATGTAATCCAGAGAACTAGTCAAAACGAGAGGGTCATCATCTTGAGTGTATTTGCTGCCGTGAATGTGACTGCACTCGCATGAAATCGTATGAGGTGCGAGGGCGAAGTCGTGGGTGAAAGAGATGCTTGTAGAGATAAATAAACAACAGCAGCCGCCCATCTGCCAGCTCCACAGCAAACGCAGGATATCAGGACTTTCCTGGCAAAACATCCACTGAGTCACACTTGAGCGTGCTGACAGTGTGGCTGCAGAGGAAGGGAGGCGATGATCTGTTGAGTAAATCCAGCTCTCAGTGTTGGTGATCAATGTCACTGTGCACCCACAAAAATCTGCATAATGTGTGTCAGATTACTTGTCCTTGGCATTGTGTCCTTTGGAAAGCGGAACTGGTGCAGAGTTCTCTTATGAACGGCAATGTTGAGCATGTCGACATGTCGTCTTTAAGTGCACAGCTGAATGATGGAAGTCGCTTTTTAAATAAGGCCAGCTCGTAAAGGCAGAGGACGCCGGTCGGCCTGGCGAGCTCAAACAATAACAGCGTTCCAGGTCTTGAAGTGTCCGTATCATCACGTCACAGAAAGACTCTTAATCGTCACGTGTCAGCAGATTATTTCAGTTGTCAGTTCGAGTGTCTTTAAAGCTTAAAAACCCCAAACGGTGATCGTGTAAACACTCGAGCTCGGATCACTGAATGGGTTATAGCAGGGGTTCTCAGACCAACGTCATAACTCCACCCAACAAGCAGGGGGCGGTGTGGGGTTGAAGGCAGAGGTAAAAACAAAACTGGAGGGCCGAAGAGTTCTGCCTTTTCTCCGAGCTGCACTTTGCTTTTGGAGGACGGAGACACGGATCTTGGAGGACGACACTTTGAGACGGTGCTCGTCCTCAAAATGGCAGATGGGAGAGGCGGGGAGACGGGGGGGGAGGCGATGCGGAGCGTTCGACACCCTCCCCTTCCCTCTTGCCCCATCATTCATCACCGCCGCACAGCGCAGTACAGTCCAGTCCGGTTCAGATCGGCAAGCAGGCTTCCAACCCCTGAGGCTGGGTTTCCATGACAACTGTGCGCTGCTGCAGTTACCATGGCTGCCACTGCGGTCTGTGGCGGTCTGCTGCGAGCTCCAGTTCCTGCTGGCTCAGCACGCCGCTGGAGGGGTAACAAGGGAGGCCTCGCAGGCTCGGGCTTTACTCAGTGCCATGGGGTTGCAGACTCTGGGGCTAATTCAGGTACCAGCGACGCACTTGGGCATAGCGGGACAGGAGTTGTAGGAGAAGTAGGAGGAGGAGTGGAGGAGGTGTTGGTGTTGGTGGTGGTGGTAGTAGTACGCAGCAGGTACCATTAGGGGCAATGGAAGAGGCATGGGCACCTTCATAACAAAGCAATCAATGGGGTTTTAAACAGCAATCACACCATAAATATATATAGTGAGAGAGAAGCGTTCATGATGGGATACAAAGGCAAAGGATGAAGAGTGAGGGGACAAAGAGGGAGAGAGAGAGAGAGAGGGGCAGTGTGAAAGGAGCCAGCGAGGGAGCAGAGAGAATGAAAACAGGGGGGAAAGAAACAGCAGAAACAAGCCCTGATGCATCTCTACACACACTGTCAGGGTCCTTTACTCATGCAAACCCACAAACACACATGTACAGTACAGATGAAAGAGACACGTGCTGATGATGACGTCAACAGTATAGCAGCTCCCCAGCAAATCTAAATTAGATACTGTAGATAAGAAAGAGCTCAATGTAATGTACGGTTGTGTGCAGCTGACTGTAGGGTTACAATTCTCTGCGGTATATTTGTGTGGAAATGATGTAAAAACTGATTGCTTTTTTTAAATTTAAAGAAGGCGAAACCGCTTGCGATGGCATAAAACGTAATAATCTGGTCGCATACAACGACCCTGACACACGATGTGCAAAGATTTGAGCTGACTAAGGCAGACTGATCGCAGTCGACCACCGAGGGTTAAAACAGCGATCGATAATGTGCTTGGTGTGTCGAATCCTGAAGTTGAATGTTTTTCTTCCTCACTTCCTCCCTCACACACACACACACGAACAGTGATATGGAAACATGCACTTTCTGCAGCACGGACGTCTAACTTAACAGAACACAAACATAAACACTTAACATTACTCAGCAGGGACCGGACAGACAGACGAGGGGTGTGTGTAAGAGATCATCTAAGTGAATTAGGCAGTTATGAAATATTAGTTGCATTAAATGCAGATGGAAGAGATTAGTTCATTTCTATTAACCCCAGGACTCAAATCCAACTCAACCCCCTGTTCGTTCACCTAAGAGCTTTTGTAAAATCCTCCAACTGAGTAATCTGTTGAGCATTTAAAAGGTTAAAAGGATGGAGAAAGAGAGAGTATACAGAGTTAGAATTGAAAAGATAAAATCTCTGCAGGAGCCAAACGTTGGGGTTGTGTTGGTTTCAAGTGACCCTTCCTTACTTGTTCTTGCGAACTACACATGCTTTTATATGAATGAGGATGCAGGTTAGTGGGAGACAGAGCAAAGACCCGGGCACCCCCACCCTCTCAGGGACCTTACCTCCTCCAGACGGCCCTCGCTGTTCTCTGGCTCAGCCCCAGAGGGTGGCTGCTGGGCCATGGAGCTCTCTGTGTCTGGTTCCACCTCGGTCACGGCGGCAGTGCTGGGCTCCGACACCTCCCTGCAGGGGGGAGACACAGTTGGGGTGAGGAGGGAAGGGTGAGTGGGTGGTAGAAAATAGGATTTCACTGTAAAGACTTTCTGAGAGCTCAGGGTCAACCCTGGTCGGTGAGAGTGTCTGGTTTTACCGTATCTCACCCGGTGATAAGCTTGTTATATTCGTCAGCATTTGTGTTATAGTGTGGGAATTGACATTTCATATTATGAATCAGAGTAAAATCATCTGTCTTTTATCAAACAGTGGTTTCGTTTGAGCAGCAAAGCACAGCCACATATTGTTAGAAGTCACTGATAACGAGCTCAATCGTATACTCAATCACTATGAAGACATGGCCCAGCAGCACCTTACGTGTGCGCTTTCTGACAACGTATGTGTGAGTGGGTGTGTTGACAGGAAGACGACCTGAAAGAAATACCAGTATCATGAGTTTCGGTTCAGATTTTCAACAGCTTGCTTCGGTTTTAATTCATTATGTTTGAAGAAACCGCATTACATTTATTACTTAGTATGAGTCAAACTCTGACTGAGCTGGTGAATCTCAATTGTGAGGTTTTGAGGTTTTTCTTCATCTTATGTGATAATAAATTGAATATGTTTAGGTTTTGGAGTGTTGTCAGACAAAACAAGCAGTTTTAGAAGATCGTAGACATTTTTCACAGTTATTTTACAATGATAAATCAAAAACTGAATCAAGAAAGCAATCAGCAGATTAATGAGTAAAGAAAGTAACCATTAAAACACTGGGAAGAGTCAGAGGAAGGGTGCTGGGGGGGGGCAGTGATCTGGGTCACTCCTGCTATAAATAACTCACCAGCTAATGGACACCCAGAGTCACAAACACACCTCAAACTAACTCATAGTTCAAGACACACCACACTCACAACCGACTCCAAGTGTGTGGTCTTCATCTGAACCATGCTGGGTCATTATCGGAAGAAAAAAAAACCCAACTCTAAGCCAGCCAATGAGAGCTATGCTTTGTTGTTACTATGAGTCAGACCTCACACAGCTTAAAGCTTTTCCCACACATTGTTTTGTATTAATTTTCTTATCGAAGACAGTGCAAAACCAAGCAGATGTCATTATTATATTTTTAGCTACCCCCTCAACTTCTCCTGCCAGCGTTATCAAAAGTCTCCTCCTCTGCCTCCATGTGATGACACAGGCACAGAGTTAGCACCCTGTAGGTGGGAGAATCACATCCTCCAGCATCCTTCTCTCCGTGCACTCCTTCTCCTCTATTGTTTGATCCATTACATGATGCTTTGCATTTCCTAGTTTAGATTCTCAGAGGAAAAGGGAGAAAATAATACATTATAACATTTTTTCCTGTTTTGATAAAGAAATGTTTGGCAGGTGCAAATCACAATCTCTGCTGATTATTTTGTCGCTAGTTCAATCAGTGATTTCTTCACGAGTTACTGCAGAGAATTCCTGAATTCAAAGCAAAAAGGAGCACAGTCAGTAGTGCATGTGATGAATTGTTGTTCCTCTTTTAATCTGCTGATTAGTTCAGAAAACAGAAAGGGCACAATCACAATTGCCTCAAGCCCAAGGTAACGTCTTTAAATATGTAAAAACGATTCATTTTAATATGATGGAAGTCAAGGATGAGCAGCATTTAAGGTGGAATGCACTGAACTAATTATTTCCTGTCGATTGCTTAATCTATGCAATCGACTGATTGTAGCAGCGATTAGTCAAGTGACCTCCAAGATGAAGGTGGTAGTTGGCCAATTCGATCCCCTGAAGAATCTTTCCGGCTCAAACGCCGAGTCACCTTCATCAAAAGTCACGTCTACAACAAGGTGCTGCGCCGTTTGTTTTGAATGTAAACAGTAAAAAAAAAAAAAAAAGATGTTCTTCACTTTCCTTCCAGCCTGATGGCAACAACTGTAAAAGAAAAATCTCTCTCACTTGCTTATAATGCCTCACTGGACCAGCTCAGGCAACCAAACATCAGCTTTTCTCCTTCTCTGTGACCTGTAACTCCGCAGAGTGTATTTCAGAAGAGGGACTGTAATGTTCGTCTCTGTACTACTGAAATCTACAGAGCGTTAGGAGAGCCTTTTTAACCTCCTTCTCTGGAGATTAGTCACTGGCAGGAGTGTAGGCAGGAGGACAGCAGTTTCCCCTCCTCCACGCCACACTGATTCTCCTCATTTGCCCTAGGTGTGGATGTCATTGTGTATGTGTGGGTGGCTCTTTAGCCGAGGCCAGAGACACACCTGCACGGGCTATAAAGGGAGACAGATGTCAACTGGAAACACAACCCCTTAGGATCAGGAGAAGAGAGACAAGACCAGAGGTGATGTAATGAATGAAAGAAGTAATGAGTGACTAACTGTGTGTCTACCCGACGCTTGGCTTTTTCTTTTCAAATAACAGCCTTGAAGCTCTCTTGCCCTGCTTTTCAAAGAGCTTTGTATTCATATGACTAGGCTGGAATGAGGAAGCACATCGAAGCTTCAGCTTGAACCTGAAAAACAACATCAAATTTGTTTTTAAACGTCCCATAAAATAAATCCATTACGTTCGGTTAAACTTCTCGAAAACCTGACAAAAAGTGACCGTGAGTGCGGCACGAGCCGAGGCGTCGATTCTCATTCGTGGCAGCTCAACAGAATTAGTGAAATAGGGTCCTAATCAGCTAACTGGGCTCATAAAGTGGACCAAAACATTGCCACTCGTCAAATCGGACATGTAGTCAGTTCCCAGGGGACGAGGGTGTGAGTGCCGGTGCCAGCTGGGAGAATTATATCACACCATAAGGGCCCATTCACACTGACTGTACAACTAACAGATGTCTGCTTTAATGATCTCCCCTGACAACAGTGAGATCATTAACAGCTACAGCCACACAAACCCAAAAATACAAATACAGTCCTCTCTGGGACAGACAACCAAGACACTGAGGTTTTTACGAAATAACAAAATGTATATTCTGAATTAAGAAAAATCCACATCTTGTTAAACGTTAAAGGAGCGAGAGAGGTGAAGAAATCACTGTCCATTACGAATTTCACAATCACACCATGAAATCTGAGCCTATTATTTATTTATCAACGTGTTCCTTCAGTGTGAAGCTATTTTAGGCACTGGACACAGAAAGGAGACCCCCTTCCCCCTCTAAATTATCTCCCCTGCTCCTTCTTCACTCAACAAAAGGCTCTCACCGACATCCCCACCCCCGGTCTCCTCCTCACATGGGCGAACATGTAACACGCTCATAACCAGGCCAATGTGAACTGATGACATGATATTTAACAGGCAGCAGCAGCCAAAAAAAAAAAAAAAAGGGGGGGGAGCTGTTAACCAAACCAGCATCGTAACGAAGAGCCGGTTTCACGACAGACCGACACCGGATAACGTGTCCCCGATGCTTTGCAGATAAGGTGGTGTAAAAGTACAAGCAGCAACCTGAAGCCTTGAGTCGCCCTCTGGCTCACTCTTACCCGTTTTTGTTGCCTTCGGACAGCATTATGGCCGGCCTTGAGAGGGAACCCCCGGGGATGAAAGATAACCCGCAGTCGCTGGTGGTTTTTCCCGGTCAGGCGTGGGGGTGAAAGCGGGGACGCGGGTAAAAAAAACAATCCCGTCGCGGTTGTTTTCTGCTGCTGAGAGCCGTGCACTGCGTCGGTATCAGGGATGCAATGCATGCATGACGGCCATGTTGGCTAGCGAGACGAGCGTCAAGTCTACCGGAGTGGAAACAAAAATATGTTCCGGTCAATGATTTCCAAAATAAAAGCTCTGCCGTGACGCTCAAAGGCGCAGCGCGTCCCGAAAGTATAACCCGAGAAAATCAGTGATCGATTAAAAAACAAAAAAGGAGAATGGAAGTACGGTTAATGCTGCGAGCAATAAGGGGGGAAATCGAGAAATAGGCAGCAGGAAAAGAGAGCGGACGGACAGAGGACCGTGGTGTGAAGGCACGCCTTTTTTTCCCTCCAAAGAGGAAACAGCAGGCAGCCACGCGCTTGTGGGGCTGCCAGCATTGGCGGCTGAGACCAAGAAATACAACCTGCTATATTTGTATGTAGAGAGAGAGAGAGAGAGAGAGAGAGAGGGCAGAGAGAGAGAGAGAGAGAGTGAGAGAGAGAAGTGGGGGGGTGTTTTTATTTTATTTTACAACCCCTTTAATGAAGAGACCCTGTCAGCTCTGTGTGACCAATGTTTTTACAAATTATACACAACAATGTTAATTTATTTTGCATCCTTCATGTGACTGGTCACTTTATTGCAAGCATAGCAGAGTTGTGTGTTTTATACAACACAAATATAATATAATAATATAATAT